CCTTAGTGATTCTGTGATTCTGTGAACTTCAGTTAGTTATTTACCAGGAGACGACAAGTCTGAGAAGAGACATGGTAATAGTCTTCAAACACACGGAATACTGCTTCAAACTGAAAACAAATAATATTTTCTTCTTTTCCAAGCTGACCAGGAAAAATAATACCTAGCTTGAATAACAGCAAGGAATATTCAAGGCTAGACTTGAGAAATTCACCTATGGGTGTGGATACTGGCATATAATCTAGGAAGACTAAAAATAACTTTATGGATCCTTCTTTGTGCAGAAGAGAGATCAGGTAACCACTTCCAGTCCATTGCAGACCTACTTCTCCGACTCAGTGATAGAGTTACTATGGATTTCCATTTACTATTAATTTCTCTATCACATTATAAAATATTTAAGTGGATGTAACAACAAAATATACGAATAAGTTGTGTTAAATTGGAAAAAGAAAAAAAAAAACAAGAAAAAAGAAAAACACACACACTGACATGAATAGTATGCTTAATTATAGAAACAGTAGGACATAAGTGACACAAGACAACCTACCGCTTGACTAAAGACGATGTCTCTTCTTAGGGTCAGCATCAAACATTGTGGCAAACCACAGGCAAGTTCCTGGAGCAAAACAAACGCCATCGACTGCTTCGCCCTGGTCACCACCTCTCCCATGCAGTCCTTCAGTGTAATCACCAGGGGATAAAGCTGTTCATACCAGTCACCTAGAACAAGACAGATCATCCGTTCCAAAACAGAAAATTTGCAGTGAAAATCCTTTTCAGAATGGAAAGAGGGCTGCAGTGGCTGCAGAGATCATCCTACACTTTAAAACGACACTGCAGCTCTATCCTCACCATTGCGGTACAGCAAACATCACTGGAGAATATGCTTAGAGGTAGGACTCCAACATACCACTGAGACTGGGGCTAAATCCTTGATCTGAATCCAACTATATCCTGAAACAATGACTTTTTAACAGACCTAACTTCTCTGTAAAACTTGCATTAAAGTGTCATAAACAGAGCATACAGGGATACACATGAAAACTCATTTAGCACAAGATGAATACAGTGGAGATGATGATCTTCTGTTCTTTCCAGCATTGACAACTTGCTATCTAAACAAATGAAGTACCATTAAAAAAAAAAAAAAACCAAGGTGGAAAAGCCTATAGTTAAGAAAAAGTGGGTGCTGGAAGGCAAAACAGAACAAATAGATATCTGGAAGGATATTATCTGTTTAATGTATAGGCTGGAAAAACACTAACCTTCAGGTCACATTACTTTTTCGTTTTAGCTTTTCTCTATATTGTTGTCTTTAAATATTTAGAGATATTGAACTCATTTTTTTTTTAGCTACTTCGAGCAGAGAGATTTGGAACTATTTTGTAATATGTTTTCCTAGGAGTATCAGAAAACACAAGCTAGTGAAATGCTTGAAAAATGGTACTCCTTAATACATTACAAATGAAACGAAGTGGTAACTAGAAATGGAAGAAAATCAGAACAGCTCACTCAAACTTGCCCAATTACCTGAGTTATTCAGGATTTAATAAAATCAGACCTATACTGTAGTTGCATCTGATCTTGCCTACGCCTCTAAGTTGAGCAAATAATAAAAAAAAACCCCAAACAAAAACCAAACCACCCTCCTTCAGAATCTACATCTCAGTTTCATTATTATAGTTTAAAATGAAAGAGAAATCAACACTCCAGAAGAATCCATATAAAAATAGGGAGTGTAACTGACTTAATACATTCCATCACTGACTCATACTTTCTGTAGATTAGTGTAATTAATAATCAATGATAATTAAAATCTGTTCCATTTAAACTGTAATTAGGTGGAAGATAACAGCACGTTGTTTCAGGTAACGTTCTGAGTCAGGCCAATGAAAGACTCATTAGTACTGAAGAAGTTCTTTAGGCAGGAAGACATAGCTGCCTGTTGCAAAGCCAATTTGGCTACGCTCCAGAAAAAAATGTAAATGAGTAAAACTGTAGCAAAGAAGAGTGGAGAGAACTTTGAAAGCCAGGGGGAGAAACTGCAAAAACATAAGGCACCAGAAAGAGGAAATAGGAACAAGGACAGAGCAGTCACAGAGAACAACTTGGGTTCCTTTGCAAATAATGTCTTTGTGGTCAGCCAACGTGTGTTTCAACAGTCATACACATTTAAGTGTGAGTAATAAAGACTGAAGGATAGTTCCCTGGAAAACAGCAGTTACGAAGTCAGAGCCATCATGATCGAAACAGAATATAAGCCATCCCCAGTTTCATGCTCCAGCAAAAAGCAGGGATTTTATACGTGCCATTGACTAAGAGAGTACTGATATGCTGTACGCCAAGGTCTGGTGTACACGTTTTAAAGAGACTGCTGAAAAAAATGGAGAGCTACCAAGATTTAGAGTTCAATCTCTTTAAGCCTATGAAAAAGGCTGTGCAGCAACTTGATTTCCTCTATTCATGAGGAGAAAATAACAAGTACTAACAGGGACGTTTATTCTAGGGAATAAAAGCAAAAGAATAACCAAAGGTCAGAGGCTGCTGTGAGACACAGTCAAATTTAGAAATGAAGTAGACAACAAGGTGTGACATACTGGAAGTCAGACTAGACAGACCAGACAAGCTAAACTCTCCTTTCCAGTCTTAAGTTATAGTAATTTCTTAAATGAATCGATAAATCCCAAGGAAAGCAACTGCAGCAGAATAAGAGCAAAAGATGTAATGCATACTGAACCAGTGAACAGGGCTGTATGTGGTAAGAATAAAGTTTGTTGTCTGCTCCTGACTTGAACAAATAATGAAAAAGATCATACCTGGCCACTTTAAAGTAGACCTGAAGGTACAGCTAATAGACATCTGTTCCACTTTCACGGGAAAGCAGAGCTGGATGCAGACACAGCCAAGATCTTGCAAGTACACGGACAGCCAGGGCAAGAGAGAAAAAGCTGAATTTCTAGAACTAACCACACTTTGTGAACCTGCTATTAGAATTTCAGGTTATGTGGATAGGGCTAAAGAGCTTTACTGACACTCATAAAAGTCACAGTCTTTTCATAAAAGAGGGGTCATATACTGGCAACAAGTCACATAACACTTAGATCTGTTTCTACTGCTGCCACTTCAGCAGTCAATCTGCACTGTGTATTTCTCCTTCTTTAGGAACATAACTTTGTACTTGTCCTTACTGAACTGCATCCTAATATTTCAGTGCTCCATTTCATCAAGATCCGTTCTAATCCTGCTCCCATGGCGCTTAAAGCCTCTCCCAGCTTTAAACATCTGAAAATTTTATAAGCATCATCCATATTTCATAAGCCAAGTCAGTAATGAAAATATTGAATAATACTGGACTAAGAACAAATGTAAGTGGATTCTACTTCATGCAGCCTTCCAGGTTGGCAGTAAACAACTGATAACTACCTTCTGTTCTGATTGTCCAAATGATTTTGCACATACCTTGTAGTAGTTTCAAGATCATTTTCTCACAAGGATTTTTTGGGGGAGACTACATTTTTGGAATACTAACTCACTAAAATAAGTAATTTTTGTCAGTAAATAATTGCATTAAGAAGGAATTCAAAGATATGAAATACTCAAGGCCATTGTTTCATTAAAGGACACTCATGCTAAATATATTAAAAATAAATCCTACGGAGTATTTAAGGTCCCAAAGAATACAGAGCTTTACTTATATAGGTATTTTGCTTTGTGGAAAACGATAAGAATTGTAAGTTTGTAGGAAACCTTACCCTAATGACCAAGGAAGGATAAGTTACTTTATTATAGAATAGAAATAGCATTGTACTTGCCAAAAGGAAAGAAGATAAAACTACACCCTCATGTGATTAAGTTATCCATAAAAATCATCTACTCCTTGCTCACACTGGAAATTCTTGTTCACAATTAGTAAGGATGTCCAATCCCCAGAAGGTGGAGCCAGTTAGCAAATCTCAAAGAGGGATTGCATTGTTTCTTGAAAACAGAGTATTTATGAATGGACTAATATAGGCTCATGTTTATCCTTTTATTTTAAAGGAAGTTTAGTGTGTTAAGATCAAAATAAAAGGAGTATCACAGACTGAGGTCTCAGAAATGACAAGTCTAGAAAAAATCTATATAGCTGCTCAATCTTTGGTCTGGCAAAATCGCCATGTCACTTGTTATGCAGGATATCCTGTTGCAAATATTCCAGCAAGAATATAAATCAGGGTCATTTATTAACAATGCACAAAGCTCCAAATATCCACCAGATGCACTTACTTGAGCAAATACTGCAGCTTTTAAGTTGCTCCTTCAAACTGAGAAGCACTGTGAAACTGAAGTTAATGAAACAGAAAAAAAACATTGTATTTTGAAGCTGACAAGTGAATTCGGGAGAATTTGGAAAATAGAATTGTCTTGGATGCAGGGATAAATATGGACTATGAATACAATTCATAAAGAGATATTATTTGCAAAGGAAGCTTTAAAATCCTGGTCTAAATTCAGGGTTAGATTATCCTGATATAATTTGCCACAACATTGTTGACATGTGAGGATACTCCTTGGTTACAAGCTACTCCTTAGAGGTCTAAAAGAGTTTGGAAAATGGTGCAAAATGCCCTACAACTCCTCCTTCGTGAGAAAACTGGCAGTTGTCTCAGAATCAGTTGTTGCTGTAAAGAAGATACAGGGGGCAAACCATGGCTCAGGACCTCTACTCCTACGGAGACTGATGATAGCTTTGCAGAATGACTTAGGGAAGGGAATAGTACAAATTATTGCTTTTGTGTTTAACACATTCAAGGACTTCACACACGTTGACACTTCAGGCGTCACATTTCTTTTAAGTTAAAATTGCAAGATTTACATCCTCAACACAGTGCAAAGTCCTTTGAAAGACTGAAGAATTAACTCAATGAGTAAACATCTCAAAAAAGACATTAGAAGCAAGAACAGAAGCAACAAGTAGACTACAGAATGACTGTCAGGTTGCTAAAATGACAAAGGCACCCTGTCCTTTTTGAAATATTTAGCATCCAAACAAAAGTGTCAAAGCCTACTGATGAAGCAAGGGAACTCAACTCAAAAATTATGTTAGTCAGCTGTTGGAAAGGCAATTAAAGGTGTAAAAGCCAAACCCATTAAAATGGAAAATGGAAGGGTGAAATTAAAAAAAGTATCACCACTATGCAGTTTGGGTTAAGATTAAAACAAAAGTGTTTGTGCAGCACAAGCACTGAGTAAATACTCCACTTCCATTGCTAACAGAGAGTTGTGGAAGTTCAGTTTATGACACGATTTGCCCTTTGGTTGCTGGAAAATGCCCTTCCGTCCCATGTTCTCTTAATCAACATGCCTGCACAGGCAAATGACCTGCTTAGCACCCAGCTAGTAATTTCCACATGCTAATATTCAAGTTGCAATATGTCAAACTGCATGGTAAATTTGATAAAGTTTGGCAGAAAAGCAAGCTCCTGCTCCTTTCAAAATCAGGCCCATTGAAGTGCTTATTAAAATGTGCTGGTAATCAAAAAGGAAAAGCCCTAAGGCTTTGCAATAGCACTCCTATCTCCTTTTGCCCCGGCAACAGAGAAAAAAGCCAATTCCGTCACTGCTATCTGCACCTAAAAATCAGTGAAAATCTTTGATGGCTTCAAGTCACTTCAAAATTTAAATGGTATGAAGTTAAAAACTAAACAAGGAATTAAAAGCGTAAGAAAGCATAATGTCATACT